AAATGCAATCATCCTAGAGCGAAACTTTCAAAGATGAAAAAAGGACGATGTACACCCTTTTGTGGAAATGCTATATTTTTTATATTTCTTATATTAATAAAACAAAATATAATTTTAAAATATTATATTTCTCGATAAAGGAATGTAAAAATAATGAATTTTACGATTTCTCAGCAATATACTATTTTCCTTCCTTAGAACACAGTTTTTACGATAACTGTGCGTGGGGTATTGCGATCACTTACCTACTTAAAAGTTAACTAAATAATTTATCGCAGTAATGAGTCATAATCATTAAATCGACAATTATGTTAGATCTCGGTCTCGATATAGTGTGGCGAAATACGCGAGTGGTTTTAGGTCCGTACAGCGTTCCTAAGGTGCACACATGCGGTTCAAATGAAATATAGTTCCTGGAAAGTACGTGCAGCAAACACACATACCTGTGTACGTGCGCGCATACATACGTACAAACAAGCACGCACATAGGTACGTCCGAACACATGTAGATACGTAAATCGCATTCACAGCACTATAAGTAGTTTGCATATTTAACGACGGTTTCGATGGAAGAAGGGTGACGTCGTCGTTTGCTTCTCGTTTCGTTGTTACAACGCTATAAACTTTTGAAAAAAAAAAAAAAAAGAAGAAGAAGAAACTTAAGAGACAGCCTCCCACTCATCGCGTTGTACTCTCAAGACACCCGATACGCTTTGCATGGAATGCGGTTTACGTTTCGGCATCAATGTAGGTAAAACAAGCACGACGATCGAGATGCGAGGCGCGGTACGAATGGAATAGTCGTTCTTGCATGAAAACGCTGATTTAGCACCGGCCGAATTAGTATTTGGAAACACCTTCGCTCGCGTAAAACGTTTTCAGCTAAAGTATGGTCCGCTGATTCTTCGACAAATATGCGTTATCGAGGAACGGATTTTTCGATAAACATGAACCGGGTTAATTGTATTCAGATCGATGAGTTAATGCAGATTAGCTGGCGATAAAAACGAAAAATAGACGACGTCACGGGAAAAAAACAGGTTGCTGCTCCAAAATGAAACTGTCGATTCAATTTTTCCGTCATATTTCCGCAAATAGAAAAAGCGCGAAAGAGAAATTTCCCTTTTACTTTTATTATCTTTTACGTTCTCCTAATTCAAACACCTTCAAATATTACATTATATTACACGATTTATACCCATTTCTACCAATGGGGATTAACTTTAATCTCGGTTCAACTAACTCTTCATCTTTTTCTAGTTCCAAGAATAAGGAAAAGAAGAAGAGTAAGTTGAACCGAGATTAAAGTTAATCTACATTGGTAGAAACGAGCCTTAGTCTAATTTTCTCTTTTCTTGGACGGAAAACAATCCAGTTACTGTCCTCAATTTTGAAGCAGATTTTTTTTTTTTCCCCGAGCACCAATCTTGTCTTAACTGCGTGATAATCCGTCGAATAACACTAATTACGATCGCAAATTGCTCTGTGCCGGCGTATTTATGCGCGATTATTGCAAAACAATGCTCGCTCGCTCGCGCAATCTTTTAGAACGAAATCGCCATAGGTGGTACCATTGACAAGTAATAGGAGCCAATTAACGAATTAGCGAGCAAATTAAGATCCGATCTCTAAATAACTGTTCGCGCTACACAGTCACGCTCGACGTTGTATTCTGCTCTATAGATCCATGGGGGATAATTAGATTTTCTGTGCCGAACGAGTATACGCGCGTTCGAATAGAAAGTCGAAATCCCGTAAAAGCGGACAAGGACACGCGCAACATGTAGTTACGATAAGAAAAACAGCTACCTCAGCACCAAAAAGAAGCATGACGAGCGGCAGCGATGACGCGACGATTTTATGTTTCTACGGAAAATATGTAAGACATTGCAACAGCGTAAAGCGGGACACGCTGCACTACGAGATGCATCTTTGCATCTTCGCTGTTGGCGAGAATGCACCGTGGAAGGCGCCATGGAAATGCGTGATTGCAGTGAATATCGACAACTCGTAACAATCTTGAGCAATCGTCGATAGACGTCCCGAGGGAAATAAACTATTGAAATTATTCGCGTCGCGTCGCGTCGCGTCGCGTCGCGTCGGTGAGATCTCTTCTGCTTTACGATCGATTTTCATTTCAATACCAATCTGATGAGATTTTGATCGGTCAATTTTTGTCATTTGTCAAGAACGCCATAAATATCGGCACAATATATTCGGAGCCACAAGTTCCCCTTAGTATGTATAACAATGCTGGCCAATCGTTTCTATTGGGTGCATGTGCCCTTGGTACGCGTTAATAGCGCAACAGCGGTGACATTCCGTGCCATCGTTGGCGCAGTACTTTTGCTCGGGGAACGAACAAGCTATCCAATTACGATATGACGACGCAAGCGGCAAAGCGGGCAGTCTGGACGTCATCGTCATTTCTATAAAACGATAGTATAGTACGCTGCTCGAAAATAACGGGAAAACAAAACGTTTTCAACGTTTCTGTTATCGATACGAAACAATAGCCTACGGGCTCACTTTTGCCAGAATCAACGTTCTGTGATTTGTGACGATGTCCGGAGATAAAACGAACCGCCAGCGTAGTTCGTAGGAATAATAAAATACGAATGAGAAAGAGGAAGAGAGAAAGGGTTAAGCATTGCGGCTCGACGTTATTACCTGTCGTTAATGTCAGCCGTCAAATAATCCAATATCATTTTTACGAATATTTTCAAGGCTAAACGTCTCTCGCAGACACTTTACTTCTTTCGCGTTAGTTAAGGTACACCAAGGCAACAACTTTTGCTGATGTCTATGATGTCGTAAACGTCGTCGTTACTCATGCAGGTTCCACGTTATTTTCCGTACGGTCAGCCTAATAAGAGGGCGTTTGACAATGCAGTAGTCGAGCGTGCGAAATAATTCCGCCGGGGGAATTGATCTCAATTCCGAATGCGATCCTATCGATTCCGGCGTCATCCAAAGATCATCACGCACGCGCCGATGCGCCGAGGCTGTGTTCAGTAGAAAAAGTAGCTTTACAAGACATTGTCCTAAGACATTCCTATTCTTTCATATGATCGTTCATTTGAATCCAGTGAGAAATTAAGCAAGAACCAATCATATTAAACAATCACACTTGACCCATCTCCATCTTAATAATTTGTTAAATAATTCTTGATTCTTCCTCAGTTCCTCACTTTGAATGTATAAATCAAGAAAAATTTAAATAACATAAAAAATCTTAGCAGTTGCAAAGCTGCTTTTTTTCTGCTGAACGCAGCCAGCCTCCCTTTTTCTCTCTAGTTTGCTTCTTTCTTGACTCTTTAAGAAATAATTTGCGCGTATAACGAACGCTTCTTTTTATAGATGCGATTTTTTTCTTACAAATATAGTACGTGAGTTGTGTATAGCTCATTCGATATCTAGTAAAGAACATTGGATATGTCGTTGCTATCAATCAGACATTTCTTATCAGAAATCAATCACGATGAACATTCGATCGATACCCTTCTGCCGTAGCACTGTTCGCCAACTCGCAAATAATCGCAGGAAGGAACGGCGTCCATTTTCGGCGCCGCGATTACGCGAGAAAAGGGAGATTCCGGCTAACAAGATAGACGTATTCCGTCGACTTCGAAAAATAGAACTTCGCAAGGATTAAATCGCCGCCAGCGTGATTTTCAACGAGAGAGAACGTAGAACGATATCCATTCAAGTACCAAAACAAAACGCCGTCGGCGATCCGGCGTAAGAGATCTCTGGATGTCAATTTTCCAGAAAATTGGATCCGAGAGAAAGGAAAGACGCGGAAAGACATTTGTTGTTTATTCTACAGGGTGGGCTCAAAAAGCGGAGCTCGAGAAGCGGAGCTCGGCATCGATGATAAATCGAGCGAATCGCGGCGAATCGCAATAACATGGAGCGCAAACCTTCCGGACAAACAATACATATTTATGATAATCATGCGTGCACGCGCGAGTGCGGAGTGCGTGTCCGCGAAGTAGAAGTTGGTAGAAGCACAAGCCTGTGGCCACAAAGGTGCTCGCGAAAGAGGGTTTTTGACGGGAACTGAAATCGGGCCGAGGCGAGCCGAGACAAGCAGAGCCGAATTCGCGGTTCTCTACAGCTACACGGTCCTCTCCCCGAGCTCGAGACGACGTCGTCGCGACGTTCGCTCTCTTGCGACGCGACGGCGCGGCGTGGCGCGGCGTGGCGCGGCGTGGCGCGGCGTGGCGCGGCGCGGCGTTAGCCGAACAGCCGCGAGGTCAGTGACTAAAGAGAGAAATATCGCGGGAACCGAA